GTCACCTTTCTGAAGGAAAACATCCAACTGCTCGACACAAAAATCTTTTAGCTCTTGTTCCGGCTTCTCCTTTTTTAGCAATGCCATCACATACTTGGCTAATGCTGCAGGATCTGCGTCGCATCTTGAAAGAAAACAAACAGGGTAGAAAATATTCCCTAGTCCGCCCCAGATATCAAAATAAAAATAATTAACAATTTTTACACAAAATGATTTCCATGTTTTTATTAAATTAATACAATTCACATATTAGAAGGCTTACATTGGTGCTAAGGTAACCGTTAGCCAAGATCTCAATACGTCTGGCTGTTGGATCCACATTTACACTTGGCGAGAGTTAAACACCGATGCTCTTTGGATCACAGTTATCATATGGCGATTCTTTGATTGTCAAGTAACTAACATATTGTTTATCGCATGAACACAATCTTTCTTGTGAAAATATATTTGAACAACCGAAAGGATTATTCTGTACATAAAAATTGCAACACATTGACTTTCAAGATAAATTTTAGCATAAACAATTTATGGTTTTAACTAAATATATACAAAAAATATACAAAACCACTAACCATTAGCCGGATTCAGAGCATGTATGATAATCGACTTTTCAGTATTTCGCTTTCCGTTCTGTTTTTTGCCAAAGATACGTTAATCGTCTCAAGAAACAGTCGTCAAAATTTTCAGAAAATATAGAGCTGTCATTCATACACGGATCAGCCTATGTTTAAAGGCTCCGCAGCATGCCATGCGTGATTTGTCACTTAAATTCTAAACGGGTACAAACCAAGTGCACAACGTTAAATTTTTTTATTAACTTCGATAACATGAGCCACATGAACCGATGACAGATCCTTGCCTGATTTTTATTGATTGGAGTAGTGCTTAGTTATATGCGTAAACATATGAAATTTCAAAAAATTAACTTCACATCAGCAAAATTGATGAACCACGCGATGACCGCCTTTATAGGCATTAAAAATTCTGAAGAGTAAACAAAAAAAGCCCAAAGGCAGCGAACCTGCCGTGTCATACTGATTAACCTGAATTAGTACACTGATTCAATGTTCTAATCATGGCTGTATGAAAATCTCAGTATGTAACCGCTCGTTACTGTTCTTTTCAAATCATCACAGAACAATCCCTGGTTTTGCAGAATCGATCTCAAACTCGGATGGGGAAGGAGGAGGGTTACAAAGTGTTTAGAGGACTCCTGCAAAACTTAGACACAAACCATATATACCCTTGCTGCTCTTGAATGCTATGCTGGCTCGGCCGTTGCCGGTGTTACAAAAGGGGGCGTAGTAGTACAACAACGGTTGCCCAAATCGATACGTAGGCAAAGATGCCAGTCAGCAGCTTTGCCGCTACCCATTCAAAAAACGATATATCGTTATCGAAAGCCAAACAACTTTTCAGGGAAACGAGACCCACTAGTGGGAGCTCACAATTGAGCGTTACTTCACTCAGTGCATGGTACGGAGCAAGGTACTGACTGTACACAGTTTTACTATGGCTAACAAGCATCAGGACTATGATATTCTGAATCTTTGCGGGTGGAAGCTAATCTCTTCACATTTGGATTGAAATGCCCGCCCGTTGACCGGTGTTGGTTTGCCCTTAGAACCCAAATGAATTGTTGAATAGAAGCCTGTCAGCAGAAGAATGGATATCATCAGGCTTAATTTACAACAGGATAAAGCATTGACCTTGTTACAGATCCATGCACTCACTGTTGTGGGAGAATATGAGTTCTTCCTAAAGGATGTAGATGTTATTTTGTGCGCAATCAAATTACTCAGTCGGTCATTTTGACGGCAATTTCAACGCGGGTGTTAGAGAGGTCACGGAAAAGTGGACAAGTGTAATGGGAACAAACGAATGTACTTAACCCACCGATGCTGGAATGACGCTGCAACGCTGTTTTGCACACTATAGACTTTTTCTCGAGACCCAAAACGCACATCAGTATACCTGGCAGAGGGAAGCTTTTAATTTGATAATCGTGTCATCTGAACCTTCGACGTTCTGTAATGCTTGTTTCCGACAACAGCTATCAACCAATCATCACTTTGTTGTTGGCATCATCTCCTGTAAACGAAGAAATACCAACCAAAGACCTAGCGGTAGGAACAAAAAGGGAATCAAGTGGGAAACATAATCTTGAGCATACACGAAGTCGAAGCTGGAGAATAGCAACACCGACGATTTGAACGGATCCTAGTGATGGCGCCTGAGCCGGAAACCAAACGGAAGCTCCTAAAGAGTGGTGTACTCGATTCTGTCGCTGAATTTTTTGCCTTAAAACTGGTTAACGTGCGCCTCAGGTCAGCAACAATCATTCCGGTGGATATCAGAGGTTCAACTGGCTCTCAAACAGAAATGCATTGAAGAGGTGTCTCAGAAGTAGAAGGTTTTCAATGTGACACAAAGAAACGCGCATCGCGTTGGCAAAAGCTGAAACTAATACATGGGAAATGTTCGATGTGGTGTTCGAATGGAATTTCCAGACGTCAATCAAGATATTCTGGTAGACTACCATCCGCCGCGTCCCGTATTAAAAGAAAGGCAGTCTAAGAGTCCTGATGGATATGTCCGATGACCTGTTGCCAAAATGAGGACATATTTTGACAATGAAAAGAGTATTTTCAGGAAGTCCTTATCCCAGAGCAAACGCAGGATGACTCGCCTGTAGAGCGGAAGGGTACGGATATTACTATCTCTGTAGATGAAATTACACAAGGTGTGAAAACTTGAAAAAAAGGAAAGGCTGCTGGAATTGATAAAATCCGCCCTGAAATGCGCAAGACATTAAACGAACAAGGCATGTTTTGGCTTAGACGTGTCTGTCAAACTGCGATGACTGCGGGAAAGAGACCAGGTGACTGGAGAACGGAAGTTATTGTACCCGTATTCAACAAGGGAGAACACAATGAGTGCTCCAATTATTGATCGTCATTTTCCATCGCCGCCTATCCTTTCGGGTGGGGGACACAGACGCGTCAGACAAGGCCTCCACCGTTCCCGATCCTCTGCCAGAGGTTGAACTTTGGCAGAAGACAACTGAAGTCTGGAGCAGACTCGTTCCATATATTCGCACCAGGCTAATCTTGGCCGACCCCTGGGCCTTCTGCCGGTCGGTTTTGCAAGAAAGAGTTGCTCCAATTGTTGATACACTACTTTATTCATTCTCTTGAAGAAAATCTACGCGAAGGTGTTAAAAGGGAGGCACCGCATAATGGCTGGCTCGATATATAGGAAAAAGTAGCGTGGCTGCAGTCAAGCCGAAGCACTTATGATCAGACCGTCGTCTTACGCCCAATTGTTGAGAAATGTTGTATTTTCATTCATTCGGTTTACAGGTGTTTTGCTGACCGGAAAAAAGGCCATGAACTGATCTCACGTAATAAGCTGTATGCATCCCTGCAATGAAATTGGACCGATGTAGAGTTGCAACGAGTTATTCAGTCACTATATGTTGATAGCAAGTGCTATGCGAAAGTAAATGGCGTCAAGTAGAGACTTTTCCGCGTCAACACTGGTCCCTGTCTTTCTGTTCTTGTCGTTCATTGATAGAATAGTCTCAGCCAGGCGGACGAGTGAGTCAACTTCGGATAGATGAAGACGAGCAGTTCGCTGTTTGCAAGCGATCTTGTTTTTTTGACATTTTCCCAGACTGATCTCCGTCGCTCTCTGGAAGTTCGCGGCCTTCATGAAACGCTGCCCCATTGTCCCAACTACAGAAAAACAAAGAAGCGACTGAGCATGTGGAGGAATTCATGCTCCTCGGGGTCGGGTTTACTAGTGATGGAAAATGGCAGGAAGAGATGGACCACCGAACGAGATTCTGTGTGAACTAGCCCCAACTGTTGTGACTAAAACTTAGCTGAATCTTTAGGCTAAGCCGTCTTATTTCAAGTCGATGTTCGTTCTCATGATCACCAACGGTCATTAGCGGCGGATCAGAGAAGTTTCGATCCCGGGTACAATCGGCTGTGCCACGTAGACTGATAGACGTTACAATACTCAAAGAATGCGGTCATAATAGAGAGTCCGTTGTTCACAGTATGGATCTGTGTGAAGGCCAGAGCTTTAGGCTGTTGCAATATCTGTCGAACAATTGCCGCTCTATCCCTGATAAGCGTTACCTCAGTGATCCTGTCACCTAGGTTTGATTCTGCCATAACATCAATACCGCCCTGAGCGCGAGTTATGGAGTCGACACCCGATTAGCATGGCTTCCACGCTGAGAGATGAAGAATTCCAAACC